CAACCCCCCATTGATAGTGACCCAGGAGACCCTCCCATGTCCCACACCAACCCAATATATTGCCAGCAGTTAAAGATATAACATGCAAATGTCTATGTAATGTTTATGTAAGTGTATACAGTGTATGTATGTGTCTGTGCAATGTATGACTGCATATACATGTGTCTTGTGTTTGTGTGCGTGACTTGGTATATGTTTAAAAGAAACACAAAACAGAATGTAACATACATTGAGAACAGGCTACAGACCAAACCTACATCTTTAGCATAACAGAATGGTCCCATTCAAGTTGACAATCTAGAACTACAATGTCATGCAGGTTCTCTATGCAGAAGAGATACAGCAACAGACAGGGATTCACACAATGGACTATACATGTGGCTTTCTAACAACTGTTACACCATCTTGGGAGCACCTGTATGTGTTAAATGTTCCCCAATTCCATACCATGAGATTGGAAGAGATTGAGATGTCCTTGAGAATCTCATCAGAGTTTTTGTATGATTGATGGGTTCTGGGAACTGTGGCAGACATAACCCTCCTCTACAGGAGTAAGGAAAGAAAAGTGAGCTAGTCCCCCCAAAAAAATTTATTTTTAAATTTATATATATACATTTTTATTATAACTTTATGCCCATTGCATATTATGCAGCCGATTACTTCATTAGTTTATTTATTTTACAGGTTAGTTTTGGAATAATTTAGGAATTAAATCACTAGCAGCTCCTGTGATATACTATAGTCACCAAAACAACTTTGGCTTAATTACACAGTCTGAGTGTATAGATCATGCTGTTATATGTCAGGTAGGAGTTAAATCACTTGTTTCTGTATATGCTATGCTAGCTACACCTCCCCTGGCTGTGACACAGCCAACATGAAAAATATGGTTTTATCAGATGTTACCTTACTTTAGAAGTTTTTATCTCCTGTAAATTGAACGTTAATCACATACATGAGGCTCCTGCAATGTTTAGCAAGCTGTTAACAGTGCAGAGAATATGACATTTCGAATTAACCTGAATTTGCAATACAGGAAGAGTAAACATTAGATCATACTTTGCAGGAAGTGTTTAGGAATGTTGTGTAGAGAGGTGTGACGTGGATTGCATAAACAGTGATTTAACTCCTAAATTGAAGAGAATTGAGCAGTGCTACTGTAGGGACATGATCTATACACCAAATCTGCTATATTAAGATAAAGTTGTTTTGGTGACTATAGTGTACCTTTAAGTGCAAACAAAAAAATATATTTGTGATTTCTTTGCTCCCTTAGATTATAGATTAGCACTAAAAGAAATGTTAAATTCTATTTGGATGCACAGAACATTAATCGGAACAGGATCTCTTAGTAGTAAAACTGTATTTGGACTGGCATTACTAACTACAAATTCCAAAGTTCAGTCCCTAGGTTTTAGAGTAGCAGGGTATATGACATCATTTTAATGAATTTATAATGCTGCGTTCTATGCATGTTTTACTAAAGGTGCCTGAGGAAGACATAGCTCTATAGTCAATGTGGTCGAGAGTATGAAATTCATGAGGGATTTAGTGCATGTTTTTGTCTTGTCTATATGTATGGAACAATGATGTTTAGATTTCTGTGTGAGAAAAGCCATGTCCTAGTTTAAGTGCTCAGCTAGTTCTACATCTATTCTGCTGTGTCTAGCCTGTAGCTCAGCAATCCCATTGGCTCCATGAGGTCTACCTCATTATCATGGGTCCTGATTATGTTTTTGAGGTAATTGCTAAATCTATTTTTTCATTTGAACTCCACCATAATTAAAACAGCAGTAAATATACATTTCAATTAATCTGTGCAAACTAAATATTTAACCTTATGCTAGATGACTATGAATTCAGATAAAGTTCTAGCTAGCACATGACTGCCTAGAAATTGCTGGTACATTTAAAACTCGACAAAATGTAAGTGTCCCTCTTTGGGTATTTAAAATGTTGTAAATAATGCGGATTTATCCCACACTGCTTTTCATTCAGTGCACATATATAATTGACTCAGTAATAGTGACATAAAAATGGAATGCAAATTGGAGGGGCTGGCGTAAGTCCATGTGGTTGACTCTTGGCAGAACCTGGTGGAAGACCTCTGTTATGTTCTGGGTTCTGGTTTTGGAACTTTTTTTTAAAACCAAACATCCTATTAACCAATGCGGGAGCTTTTTTCACTCTTAATGTGGAAAGCTTTTTTTAAAAAAAAAAACAGAACAAAAAAAAAACAATACTGTTGCTATTAACAAGTAAAAAGTAAAACCTTGGAAGAAATGGCAACACATCAATATTTTGTATATAAATATTTAAACATCCATTGTTCCAATGTAAGCAAATCGAGAATAACAAAAATTAATTAAGTTATTTACATTGAAAACATTAAATAATGCATCACTCCACTAGATTGTAGTTATTTTACTGTATATGTCTTGGATTGACTGCAATAGTAGCTTAGTTTTAAGGAGAAGTTATCCCTTTGTAAGGACCATTTTAGAACAGTTTGGCTTCTTACCTTGGGTCTGCTGGACTCAGTGAGAACCAGGAACTCTCTTCATTAGCTAAGATAGAAGGTAAGGGCTTAGCTCATTGGCTGGAAGCAACCAGCTTGTGCAGCACTGCAGGGTTTGGTTCAGAAGAGCTAATGGAAGCAGCTCCTTACCGACTTCCAGCTTTCGCTGAGTTGTAATGGAGGAAGGGAGGGCACCCAGCAGACTCTAGGTAAGCAGTTAGTCCAATTTAAAATGGTTGGACCCCTTATAATAGGGATGTGGGTATCAGAAATTCAAATTTTAGGACTACAGCATTAAAGATGTGTTAAAAGTTGAACTCAAAGTATTGCTTCAACCTAAATTACTATGTAACGAACAGGGTGATTTTCCAAAATGAGAATTCGCAGTGAATTTTAAATTCAAAGTAAAAATTGCTAAACTGGAAAAAATCTTAAAGTCAGCTATGTTTGGCTACTTTGTCCTTTAATTTGAAATTAATTATAAATTCATAGTAAATCCTTACATTAGTGAATAACCCTGTATGTAACTCACATATTTAGTGCATTAACCATATTTTGGAATAATTTTAATTAGTAGACTTTCCATGTAATACTATCCTTATATAAAAACAATATAAAACATTGTTTTTGTCAAAGAGAAAAGAGGAAATTATTATTAATAATGCCCAATAGGGTATATTAGCTTAAAAATAAAGAATGTTTAAGAAGGATTATAGTACCCTTTAAATATTAGCATAAAATATGTATTTACTTGGAAAAAAATATATTAAAAAATAGATAGCGTAAAGGAAATATAAAATACTATAGTATAGCTTTAGGGCTTTTTTTTAGTATTTTGTGTGCAGGAATGCCATGTACTAGCCAAACCTGTACTAAGTGGACTAGATTCTAAGAAACAGGACATTGGAGAAAAAAAAGACCTTTAATGACACCTCCCATATTTCTTCCCATTCTACAACATCAAGTGTTTCACCTATGTCCTCTTCCTACTAGGATACATATTTTTTAACAAAGATTGTCCGTTTTACTGATATGTATGTACCGTGTTATTTTTTTATAATTTGATATATTCTAATACCTTATCAACCAATGCGGGAGGTTTTTTCACTCTTAATGTGGAAAGCTTTTTTTTTAAAAAAAAACAGAACAAAAAAAAACAATACTGTTGCTATTAACAAGTAAAAAGTAAAACCTTGGAAGAAATGGCAACACATCAATATTTTGTATATAAATATTTAAACATCCATTGTTCCAATGTAAGCAAATCGAGAATAACAAAAATTAATTAAGTTATTTACATTGAAAACATTAAATAATGCATCACTCCACTAGATTGTAGTTATTTTACTGTATATGTCTTGGATTGACTGCAATAGTAGCTTAGTTTTAAGGAGAAGTTATCCCTTTGTAAGGACCATTTTAGAACAGTTTGGCTTCTTACCTTGGGTCTGCTGGACTCAGTGAGAACCAGGAACTCTCTTCATTAGCTAAGATAGAAGGTAAGGGCTTAGCTCATTGGCTGGAAGCAACCAGCTTGTGCAGCACTGCAGGGTTTGGTTCAGAAGAGCTAATGGAAGCAGCTCCTTACCGACTTCCAGATTTAGCTGAGTTGTAATGGAGGAAGGGAGGGCACCCAGCAGACTCTAGGTAAGCAGTTAGTCCAATTTAAAATGGTTGGACCCCTTATAATAGGGATGTGGGGGGGGCGTGGCCGACCGCCGAGCAACCTGGCAGCCTAGGAAATTGCTCCGGCACCCGGGCTCCAGCAATCCGACGACATCGTCTCCCAGGGCTCAGAAAACCCTCATCACACCCGAGATGGCGAACCCCAAGGGGAAAAAGAGCACACAGAAGGCGGAAAAACAAAATTTCTTCAACAACAAAGCCGCGGGCGGCTCTGAAACCGACCGCGGCACAATCCAAGATGGCGCCGACGAACAAACGGCGGGAAACATCTCACTCACGGGCGCACATCAAGACAGCCAGGACAACCTCACTAAGGCACACCTGGATGCAGCGATGGAAGCCATGGCCAACAAACTAGTACAAACATGGCAATCCTCCATAGGACAACTCCGCAGGGAAGTCCAGGACATAGGCCAACGAACCACACACGTGGAAAATAAGCTGAGCGAGTATGCAACAGCGCACAACGATATGGCCGACCATGTAGCGCGGCTGGAACAAAAAATCGAAACAATGGAGGCGCGTATGGCTGACGCTGAGGACCGCTCGCGGAGAAACAACCTCCGGCTACGAGGAGTCCCGGAGAGCATCATGCCTAACGATCTACCAGCCTATGTGCAAGGCCTTCTGAGGGCATACGCTCCGGACATCCCCACGGATATGTTCCTAATAGACCGGGTACACAGGGTGCCCAAACCACGCAATCTGCCTGGCAATATCCCTCGCGACGTCCTACTAAGGGCACACTACTACCACATAAAAGAGGCAGTATTGCGCGCCAGCAGAATCCGCTCAGAACCACATGAAAACTACGCCACGATCAAGATCCTAGCAGACCTGTCCGCGGCGACTCTCAAGCGCAGGAGGGATTTCCAACCGGTGACAGAAGAATTGCGACGTGCAGGAATAAGGTACCGTTGGGGATACCCCACCAAACTCCTAATTACCAAAAGCGGCGAGATCAACGTGGCCTCCACGCCGGAAGAAGGCACCCGACTATTGAGAGACTGGGGGCTCCTTACTAACCCCCCCCCCACAACTCAAGCAAGCCCAGCGAGACGTCTGACACCAGAATGGCGCCAGGTCCCAACACGGAACAAATCGCCATGATCCACCTGAGGGACTAGGCCGTCCAGGCCATAACCAGGGACACGTGAGATATTAATATGTACTGCTAACTGTTATCACAAGTTTAGTTTAAGTTTTTTCTTTTTCATGCGATTGTACTGCTAATTGTTATCACAAGTTTAGTTTAAGTTTTTCTTTTTTCATGTGATCAACTGCTTTGATTAGCATTTTATTCACTTACCACACAATCATACCACACTATGCATGGTTTGTTGGATGTGGGCGGGTGGGATGCCCACATGGGTGATAACCAGGGCAAACTTTGGGCAACAAGGAAGGGTGGCATGGTATAGGCAAAGAAAAGACCAGTAGTTGGAGGTGATCCTAATACCTAACTATTATTTACAAGGTTGAGGTTATGCATACATAAGACAGGTACTCCAAGAATGTACAAAGGTGCACAACGATTATGTAATTTACCGGGACATTGTCCATAGAGAGAAAATTGTACATGACACCATATAAACCACTATTGTTTTACGAGTAGGTCAAACCCACTACAACCGCACCGCCCCGCCCAACTACGTAGCCTGGCTCATCACATCCAAAAGTTACGATGGGAGAACCACACCCCATCATAAAGACCGACACAACAAGTGGGAAAACCACGATAGGCACCAAGCGGTGACCTGCACACGCCCCGCAAAACCTTCCCTTGGGTCCGATTTGATTCTCCCACCCATGCCCACAGGCCAGCACTGAGAATGCCATGCACAATACCTAGGTCGCTATTGACTTATAGCTCTGAGGAGAGACAGCAACTATGTACACAAGGGAGCCCAACGGCCACAATACCAGAGACGCTGTTTCAGCGCTCCTCCCCCATGGCACGATGCCACTGTGCCAAGACCCACGTTTGGGTCATACTGTATATACTTTGGTTTCTTTTACCCCTTTCCTCTGTCATTCCCGAACCTCCCACCCCCGGGCGCAACAACGTAGTCGCACAGGCGCCGTCTAAGCGGTGCACCATACGAACCCTGCAACATCTGCAAATCCATATAGGCATAGCAGAACTGCAAACGAGCACCCTTTATCACCCACCCATCACATGAAAATATATTCACACAATTGCAGGGGACTAAACACCCCACATAAAAGGCGCATGATGCTGGAGGAAGCCAAACAGACTCAGGCGGACATTATCTGTTTACAAGAGACCCATTTTGTTACATCTAGGGTGCCTAACTTTGGAGCACAACATTACCCTCACCAATATCACGCAACTCACTCCTCCAAATCGAGAGGGGCCTCAATCCTTCTCCATTCCTCCTTAACAGTTGAAGCCCTAAACCTAATCAAAGACAAACAAGGAAGATTTGTAATGCTACATTGCCTCCTAAATAACCTGCCATATATTATAGTCAGCTTCTATGCTCCCAATGTACACCAACGCGCCTTCCTACGTAAGGTGCTCTCTGCACTCCCACCTAACCAGACTGCCCCACTTATATTATGTGGAGATCTTAACCACCCTCTTGACCCACACATGGACACCACACTAAACACCACGACACCGAGGCACAAAGCACTCAAAGCACAAAGTAAAGCAATCAATACACTGCTAGGGGAATATGGCCTATACGACCCTTGGAGAGCCTTCCATCCTAATGAGAAAACGTTCACGTTCTATTCAGCAGTGCATAAATCATATTCACGGATAGACTTCATTTTCATAACAGGTACATTGCTTACCAGAGTAACAAATAGCGAAATCGGGGACATAACATGGTCAGACCATGCCCCGACCACAATAGAGCTGACTGAGGAATACCAACATAGGGGACGGCCACCGTGGCGGCTCAATGATTCCCTTCTAGGTGACCAGACATTCACTACAACATTAACAGAAGCCCTGACATCATATTTCCAAACTAATGATACGCCGGATGTCCATCCGACCACTGTGTGGCAAGCCCATAAAGCGGTCATCAGAGGACTCCTCATCAGCAGAGCCTCCTTTTTAAAAAAGAAAGCACAACAAGAACACCTACACCTGCTGTGCACTTTAAGAGACGCAACAGCGGCAAACATAGTAGACCCATCACCACAACTAGCACAGACGATCCATGATACTACGACGAGTATCAACAACATGGCAATCTCTAAAACAGCACACATTTTACATAAGCTGAAACAAAAAACCTACTCACAAGGAAACAAAGCAGGCAGGAATCTAGCGACTTTACTACGCCAAAAACAATCCAATGCAAAAATCCCCTATCTGCTCACCTCCCAAGGCTCTAAAATCCACAACCCAGAAGATATTAATGATACTATGGCAGACTATTACCACTCATTATACAACCTCAAAGAAGACCCCACACTACATCAACCCACATCCCAAGACATTCAAAATCTACTTGGACAGTTCTCGCTGCCAACACTGACGGAACACCAGAAAACTATCCTACAACACCCAGTCACACAAGAAGAAATACAACAAGCTATACACTCACTCCCCCATGGCAAATCACCGGGACCCGACGGACTCACAAACTCCTACTACAAGACAATGACCACAATCCTAACCCCATATCTGGACAAAACCTTTAACCATATCCTCACGACGGGCCAAGTGCCCCAAGACATGCTCATGGCACATGTGGCTACATTGCCAAAACCAGGCAAACCACCTAACAAATGCCAAAATCTAAGACCAATCTCCCTCCTTAACACGGACATCAAATTACTGGCAAAAATTTTCTCTAACAGATTAAAGAACATTATCCCGACCCTGGTACACGAGGACCAGGTGGGATTTGTTAGTGGTAGGCAAGGAGCGGACGGAACCCGAAAGATCTTGGACCTACTACAGGGAGGAAGCGGAGGGGGGGCCCAGTGCGTTATGCTGTCACTTGACGCTGAAAAAGCCTTCGACAGATTGCATTGGCCCTTCCTCCAAGCTGTTCTGATCAAATATGGCTTCCCAGACACTTTCTTACGGTTAGTAAAGGCATTATACTCTAAACCGACAGCGAAAGTCACCAATGGGGGCTTTAGCTCTAAACAATTCCACATAACCAACGGGTCAAGACAGGGCTGCCCACTATCGCCTCTCCTTTATATTCTCTCGCTAGAACCTCTCACGCAACTCATTAGGGACAACCCAAACATACACGGCATTACGAGACAAGGCAAAGAACACAAACTCACACTTTTCGCAGACGACATCCTCTTAACACTCGAGCAACCACACATATCCCTACCTAACTTCCACGATACGCTCACCCAATACAGCAAGTGCTCCTATTATAAACTTAATATAAATAAAACTCAAGCAATGGGCATAAATATCCCGATGGAGGTCTTGGATAGGTTGCGTATCTCTTTTAAATACGACTGGCGAAACGACCATCTAAAATTCCTAGGAATCAATCTCACCCCAAATCTAGCAAACCTTTTTAAAATAAACTATCAAAAAACACTGACTGAAATAAAAAACCTACTACTAGGATGGAAGAGTAAATTCGTATCTTGGTCAGGGAGAATTGCCGCAATTAAAATGATCATTGTACCTAAATTGCAATACTTGTTTAGAACGTTACCCATAAAGATACCCCCCACATTCATACTCAACAAACACTACTAACCTTTATATGGGACAGACAAAAAGCACGGGTAGCGAAAAGCACGCTATACATGCCACGCAAAAATGGGGGAATGGGAGTGCCCAACCTAGACAGCTACTACAGAGCAGCCATTCTGGGCCCCCTACTAGCGGCTTGTCATCGAGACCACCCAACCCAATGGATGGAACTGGAGGCGCAGCATGCTAATAACATTCCCATCAATGTACTGGCATGGCTTCCCCAGCACAGCAGGCCTACTAAGGCAAAATTGCTCCCAACCACAGCCCTCACCCTGACCATATGGGACAAGTACTGCCGCACATTGGGCTGGCTGGGCAAAATATCGCCTGCCATGCCCATACAAACACTACACTATACAATACCTAATTTTAACTACACCGTATGGCATCAGCACGGAGTAACACACTTACACCAGCTGCTCCAGGAAAACAAGCTCAGAAATCTCGCAGACCTAACAGCATGTTATAATTTGACTCCAAGGGCAGCTTTCCCCTACATGCAGCTGCAATCATGGCTCCGCAAGCAAACTATAACAAGACCTGACAATGTACAGGGGCTACAGCTGACGGTGGTAGAGAAAATATGCTCACGTCTCGCAACCCCCAAAAAACTCATCTCGGAACTATACCAGACTATGCATCCCCCAAAAGACCACAAAAACCTCTCCTTCATAGTTGCATGGGAGAGGGAACTTACGTACACTCTTGGTGAAAAACAATGGAATGAGATTCTCCTGGCACACAATTCACTCTCCAAATGTGCCTCCCACATGGAACTATCCCGGAAAATTTTATACCGGTGGTACCTAGTACCCACACGCCTAAAGGCCACCTATCCACAGGCCTCCGATATCTGTTGGAGATGTCAACAACACAAGGGCACAATGCTCCACATTTGGTGGGAATGCCCCTCCTTAACACCCTACTGGAATACCATAAACACCATTATCCAAGACAGCACAAAAACACTACTACCCCGCAAACCAGAAATATACCTCCTCCACCTCTTTCCAAAGGGGCTGCGGAGCAGGCAAAGATACTTAATCTATCACATACTTATAGCCGCGCTCACGGTCATTAGCAGACATTGGAAATCTAATATCCCACCCAAAATATCAGAATGCATACAAACGATAGAAACAACTAAGCTCTACGAGCTGGCAGCTAGACGCTCAAACCACTCCAAAAAAGTTTGGTCACAAGCCTGGGAAACCTGGCAACTGTACATGGAGTGTACTAATAATATAACCCCCAATTGAGATGACGGTAGCAGGGATCTACACACCGACAGCTGTGCCCCTTCGACAACGAAACTGTAGCAAAGGGTGTAAATGTAAAGGTCAATGCAACTGTACATGAAAATGTAAATAATTCTGGAGACTGCAAACACAACGATAATGCCGCAACTCGAATAAAACACATGTAAGACAGATAGTCCTGCAGAAACGACCACACACAGCCGACTACCTAGGAGAGCCCTACCCTCTCCCCCCCTCCTTTCTCCTCCCCCCTTCATCCCCCCCCTCCCTTCCGTCCCCACTCTGATCCTCTTCCACGGTTCACCCCCCACCCCAGTGGTATATGAAATACCAAAGCTCTACACCCAGCATCAATCACAAACCCAGTCGATTACCACCCTGGAAGGGACCGATGTGAGCCCCCCCCCCCTCAGGGCATGGGGTGGACAATAATCAGCAGACCCAATCAGGGCATCACAATATAACACAATGATCGTATGAAAAGCAAACTGTGTATGATAAATGTGTACACTGTCCTAAGGTCAATGTGTATGAGATACTTTACGTTACCACTGCTCCCCCACCCCCTATTCTCTTCTGTACCCCTATAAAACTTCAATAAAAATTGTCAAAGATAAAAGAGATGCACAGCAAAACAAACTCACAATAATGTATCTTTAAACTACAATAAATATTGTTAACAAGTCACCTAAAATCTCTCAGGACAACCCTGCCCCTGGCCACACCCACACTCACACCCCTTGAATTAAAGTGTCCCTCCTTGTCCATTTGAAAGGTTGGGTGGCATGCAGCATAACTACATCTGCATACTGGATAAACCCAAAACAACTAAATCCAAGTTGACAGCTTGTAACACGGTAATCAGGGAAATGCACGTACAGATATTGACCCTGTTTTTTAAGTAATCTATCAAGGATATTGTGCAATGTCTTGAGTGTGCTAACAGTGACATGATTTAGTGTTTTCAACATGATAATGTTTTAACATCTCCAAAAAATAAAAATAAAAAAAATAATAGGGATGTGGGTATCAGAAATTCAAATTTTAGGACTACAGCATTAAAGATGTGTTAAAAGTTGAACTCAAAGTATTGCTTCAACCTAAATTACTATGTAACGAACAGGGTGATTTTCCAAAATGAGAATTCGCAGTGAATTTTAAATTCAAAGTAAAAATTGCTAAACTGGAAAAAATCTTAAAGTCAGCTATGTTTGGCTACTTTGTCCTTTAATTTGAAATTAATTATAAATTCATAGTAAATCCTTACATTAGTGAATAACCCTGTATGTAACTCACATATTTAGTGCATTAACCATATTTTGGAATAATTTTAATTAGTAGACTTTCCATGTAATACTATCCTTATATAAAAACAATATAAAACATTGTTTTTGTCAAAGAGAAAAGAGGAAATTATTATTAATAATGCCCAATAGGGTATATTAGCTTAAAAATAAATAATGTTTAAGAAGGATTATAGTACCCTTTAAATATTAGCATAAAATATGTATTTACTTGGAAAAAAATATATTAAAAAATAGATAGCGTAAAGGAAATATAAAATACTATAGTATAGCTTTAGGGCTTTTTTTTAGTATTTTGTGTGCAGGAATGCCATGTACTAGCCAAACCTGTACTAAGTGGACTAGATTCTAAGAAACAGGACATTGGAGAAAAAAAAGACCTTTAATGACACCTCCCATATTTCTTCCCATTCTACAACATCAAGTGTTTCACCTATGTCCTCTTCCTACTAGGATACATATTTTTTAACAAAGATTGTCCGTTTTACTGATATGTATGTACCGTGTTATTTTTTTATAATTTGATATATTCTAATACCTTATCAACCAATGCGGGAGCTTTTTTCACTCTTAATGTGGAAAGCTTTTTTATAAAAAAAAACAGAACAAAAAAAAAACAATACTGTTGCTATTAACAAGTAAAAAGTAAAACCTTGGAAGAAATGGCAACACATCAATATTTTGTATATAAATATTTAAACATCCATTGTTCCAATGTAAGCAAATCGAGAATAACAAAAATTAATTAAGTTATTTACATTGAAAACATTAAATAATGCATCACTCCACTAGATTGTAGTTATTTTACTGTATATGTCTTGGATTGACTGCAATAGTAGCTTAGTTTTAAGGAGAAGTTATCCCTTTGTAAGGACCATTTTAGAACAGTTTGGCTTCTTACCTTGGGTCTGCTGGACTCAGTGAGAACCAGGAACTCTCTTCATTAGCTAAGATAGAAGGTAAGGGCTTAGCTCATTGGCTGGAAGCAACCAGCTTGTGCAGCACTGCAGGGT